AATCTTCTCTGCTTCTGGGTATAATGCCCTGTTCACACGACAAGTTTAATTCGCAGTAAATTAATGCAAAGTAAACTAATGTGAATTAAATTCTACTTCTACAGCCAGGCGTCAGTGAGGCTATTATGACGTCATTTGCAAATCACGTCACCTTATGCAGAAGCAGATGCATTTGACATAATGTTACAGTGTCTGTACACACATTAAATGATTAACACAAATTTCCGTAGTTTTTCACTCAAAAATAGCACAAATACTTCAAGCTGACCATGGACATGTGGCATTTGACCTAATTTTGCCATTACGCATGCCTGGAAATTTAATTCGAATTAGCTTCGCTTGGCGTTCACACGGAGCTAATGTGAAGTAATTTAGTGCACAGTAAACTAATTCGAATTAAACTAATTCGCATTAAATTCTCCGTGTGAACACTAAGCGAAGCTTCATGTAATTCGCAGTTACTTTACGTTTAATTCGAATTAAACTCTCCGTGTGAACAGGGCATTAAATAGACTAACTTAGTATATAGTTATAATGAGCAAGAGTGCCTCAACCAAATTTGTGAATTTCATGGCCCCTGTGCCAGGGGTTTTGCCATTTGGTGTAGGGGGGGGGGGTACATAGTCTGAAAATAAAATAATGCTTTGAAATCTGATCTTTGGTATGAATCAACCATATATAATAAAATAAAATTTATGATAATATTTCCAAAATTTTGAAATAAGTGGCCCAAGGGTCAGTTGTTCCTGTGGGGTGGGGTGCCAAACCAAATTCAATTGTTCGAAAGTTGTAACATAATACTCAGGTGACCTATAAGGCCCTTAGGCCTCTTGTTTTTGCTTATAATCATGAGAAACTGTTTTGCAATATAAATTGATCATTATATAAAACAATATTTTTTGTCCAAGCTGTTATTTTATAAATGTACCCTCTGAAATAAATGACATTTGTTATAATTTAATCCATGTATTAGTAGTTGACTGTCATTTGTATTTTATAGTAAATTAAGATCAATTGAGCTAAATTCTGTGTATTGACAAATTTCCATAATTTTATATTCAGGTAAGAGAAATTAAAGGTTTTCTTTTTTTGTGTGATACAGGAATAGTATCAAAACTGCTTTTGAAACTTGGAGGTGATGACCTGAAAACACAAATAGCTCTAAATAGTAAGTATCAATATTTTTATGGATATTTTTGCAATGATATTATAAAATAATTTATCATATTTAGTGCACATACTGCATAAGTGTTATTAATCAATTGATGAATTGCATATCTTTATCTTCCTACACATGCTAATTACCCCGATATGGCAAAGACTTCTGAGAAAAAAGTTTAGATGATACCAGTTTGTTTATGAATATAAATCACATTTTGTGTGTTTTTTAATTTTCTGAGTGTGTCCTTTTTTAGCTCATATGAACCATATGAAGGCTCAAGAGAGTTTTCTTCTGAAACCATGCACACCCACAAATGGAGATATAATTATGAAATGGTTAATATATTAAATGGCATCTTCTCAAGAACAGCTGTAACAGAAAAAAATGAAACTTATGTGAATCAATCATTACATAGTGTACATTTTTAGGTGTAACCTTAAGGATAGGATGGGGTCACAAAAGGAGAACAAGTTATATGCAAGAATATACATGAAGCGAGTATCCGTAAAATTCTTCTTCTTACACTAGTGTATGACCATCAAAGTCATAATTATTTATTTTAATACAGAAGCATCCTCAGGTCATGTATAGATTCAAGTTTGTTAAAATCATGACAAAGCACTGGTTGTACATGTAGAGTAGGGCCTGATGATTAGGAAAAAAAATAGAAATTGATGAGGTTGGTGAAACTGGAGGGGACTACATGTTTCCTCCTAGTTAGTCTGTCTAGCTGTCAGTTAATTTATCCAACTTGGTCTTCCACACTTTTTTTTAAACACTTGCATGCAGATATTGAGCTGATTTTTGGTATAGTGGTGTATGACATAAGTTATGCATGTACAGATCAAGTTTGCATTTTGTTCCTTGTTATTGAATTTTGATGGAATTATGGCCTTTCAAATTTTAAAGGATTGTCCATATTGTTTTTACTAAACACTTGCAGATATCGAGCTGATTTTTAGCCAAACTTATTGCTCAAAGAGTAATAGCTGAGTATTGTCAGGCTGTTCAAGGCAGGAAAGTGTTGACCCCATTAAAGTCATGCACGGATCTAGAGGGGGGGGGGGGGGTCAGGGGGTCGGGGGGTCAGGACCCCCCATGAATTTCCAGGTTTATAAATTTATATTTATAACCCCCCCCCCTCCCCCCACGAAATAGTTTTTTCGTCTTTGGGCAACTTTAGGTTTTTTTTTTTTTTTTTTTTTTTTTTTTTCTTGTCAAGAAATTTATGGGATTTGATTTTTTTTATGAATTGGGTGGACCCCCCCAGGAAAAAATTTCTGGATCCGCGCCTGAAAGTTACATGTAAAAATATAGTATTTACTCTCAATCAGCCGCTTTTAAGATAATACATGTACAAATGCTGAATAAAGCAACAAAAATAAAACGAAGCTTTATCTACAGTGGAGCCTCGTTTATCCGGACGCTCTGGTTCCTAGTCAATTTGTCCGGAAAATTGAAGCACCCGGATACCTGAATTACTAGTTAATCAGAACAAAACAACATTAAAAAAATCCATTCCAATGAAAAATTGTTGGGATACTGAAGCATCCAGATATCTGGCATCTGGATATCTGAGGGTCCACTGTATACAAATAAACATCTGTAGGAATAACTTTGAAAACTCCAGTCCTTAGTCAAACAGCATACTTTGAAATCACTAATTTTTGTGGAGGTTTAATTTTTTTATTTTCAAGGTATGGGGAGACCCACAAATTCATGACAACCATAAAATGTAAAATTTAATAAGCATTATTAATCAACACTTGTTAATTAAACAACAAAAACAAATTTCCACATATCAATAATTTTTTTCTCAACCCTAAAAAATTTGCCCTCACGAAGATATGTGATTTTGCAGTAGTTCTTTTGTGTAAGGTATTTTGATGGTCAGTGTTATTGTAGCATAGTTGGTATCTGAGTTTACATTCATGAGTTATAATTGAAGTTTGTATTTTGTTCTGCTTCAATGATTTTTTCACAAAATTATGCATTTATATAGGGAACCAGATAATTACACTTGCCAGAAGGAAACTATTATTACTATAATTATGCGATACTCTCACAGTGTTTGTTTTATTTACCATATAGTTAAAAGATCAGTTACTGATTTTAGAAAAAAATTCTATTTCAACTTAGCAAAAAGCTTGAAGGAAGATGGAATAGCTGTGACAACATCAGGGATCAAAAGTCGTCTTTCATGTAATTATATCCTACATCTTGATGCTGAAAATACCAAAGAATCTTGGGAGCATAAAATTTCAAAAACAATTGAAAGAGCAGATGAAATACCTGGATGCAAGTCAATTGCTTTTCCTACTTTGGGACAAGGTACATGTAATAATTATACTGTGAAGAATTTTTTCTTGAATAGTAACTTCTTTAAAAGAATCTACTTGCATGCAGCTCATGTTTGACACAGCTAGGTATTACCTGTATCCTTTATTTAGCAGTTTTAGCTCAGAAATTTTAATATACATGTACTAGGTCTTTTTAGTTTAATTTAAGGTACTATATATATCATTTAAATCAGTCAAACTATTCAATGTGCCACTGCCTTTATTATTGAAAAACAACCCAAAATATTATTTAAGAACAAAAGAAATGTGTTTTTAGTGAAAGAGAGTATACATGCATTAATTAGTACAGTCGTTTGGCCAGTTCCGGATTTTGGCCAGTTCCGAATAATTAGTAATTTAAGGACTGATAATTAATAAATTCAACGGTGTAAAAATAAATTGATTTCTATGGTAAGAAGGCTTATTCATGAGTGTTTGAATTATGTGAAGTTTTGATTTTTTGCCCTCAGTTTGGTTTCGTTATCGTACTTGAAACAGTCGACACACTTTTACAATGCAACAAATCTGAATCACCTCGACGCGTAAATATGCAGAAAAACCTCTGTAGATGCATACATTTTTCACATAAAACAACGTTCTAGGTATCAAAAGTAAGTTTGATATGTACTCTAACATATACTAAAAACATGTCAAAAATAAATATTTGGAACACTGGAAGATATCGAAATATTTTCGTGCTCTTATTTTACCGGTTCCGAATACCCATTTTAAACATTATTATAAATTCACTCTTCGATCTTTTCTTCATTATAAACGTGACTTATTCTACCCCCGCTTGAAAAACAGGAAGAAGCGGCATATAGTAATGGGATGTTTGTCCGTCCGTCCGTCTGTACGTCCGTCTGATATGCTCTGGGGTATCTATTTCTTATCCGCAACCCCTCTTCTACCACTGAATGAAGTTTAATGAGGCTTCACAGAATTTAATGAGTCTTTCACAGAATCTTTGTTTATCAGTGCCAAAGTGCACCTTTATAAATTTTGGATCTGGTACATAATTTGGGCTCCCTGAGAAAAACATAGATACTGCCATTCTTTGTAATATTGAAAGGTATATCCATCTCTTGTCCGCAATTCCTCCTATACCACTGAATAAGATTTAATGATACTTTCACATATTCTTTATTGCATTGTGACATTGTGACTTATTATTTTACTTTTTGATCTGACATTTATTTCGGGTCTCCCAGAGTAAAACATGGACTTTAACTTAAATAATCATAAAGGAGGCGTGGGGTATCATTAAAATGAGCTCAGTGCCCACAGTATACCTCTAGTTTCTCTTCAACCTTTGGAAATACAAATAATTTATTGGTAAGCAATTAATTTAACTTTTCTTAGGCATGCCAATGGATAACGTCTGGGACGTATATTTTTTAATTTAGGGTTGAATTGAATAAGAATCTCTAGGGTATCCGGAACCCGTCGGCTTATTCGTAACTGGTAAAATGGACACCTATGGTAACTTGCGAAATAAATTTTTTTGAGGGAAGGCTGAACTTTTATGAAACAATATTTAATTCCACAAGTCATCGAACTACCTTGACAAAACACTTAGATTTTGAAATAATTCCTAGTATATTTGTAACACCGTCGAATCGGTTTCTTATTCGGAACTGGCCAAGTAACTGTACAATCGTCATAAAATAAGATGTTTACCAATATCATGTACATTTCCTTATAACTTGTAAAGAAGATGGGCGCATTTGGCGGGAGATCTGCAGGAATCATTTGTACGAAACATTTATGGTTTAAATGTCCATGATTTGGTTGGCTGAACATACCTGGTCAGATTTTACAAACACTTCCATGGTTTTTTTTTCATTTAGTTTGAAAGACATTGTGAAATTGTAACATTTATGTCCATTTCTTTCTAGGGGGTACTATAACATAGTAATATTTCACAAAAAATAAAACCTAAAATATATTTAATGCATAGATGCATACCTGTACATGTACACTCTGTACATTATAAAATAGAATAGAATTGATTTCGCTTGAGAACCAAACTGTACCAAAAATTATCTAATTCAAAATTTTAATACATCAGTAAATAAAATGAAACTGACAAAATAAATGGTTGCTTGCCTGAATGAAAAAAAATTAACGCCCCATGCCAGGCTCGAACCAAAAACTTTTCGCTTCGAGTGCACCGAACAGGTAGCCTAACTTTCTGAGCTATCACCGCTACACATGTACAAATGTCTTTAAAAGGACAAAGATGCACCACATCGACACATTTGGTTTTTTGGGGAAAAGTTCATTTTTCGTGGTCTCTGGGTCTTCTCTCCATTTTTTAAAAAAGTGTAATCGTTTCTTTGAATTAAAATACACACAAATAACGTTTCAAAATCATGGAGAGAAGACCCAGACATAGAAAATATTTAGAAAAATGTGTTTCAAAATGTACAATTTTGTACCAAATATCTGATATGGCCAATTTTCAAGTTATTTTTTAGCAAATCAAAGCTCAATTTCAGGAAAATATTTTCCGTTCCTGTTGCACAGGAACCCGATAAATTAAAAAAATGTTAAAATTTCATGTGACATGTCAATAAGATTTTCACTTTTTAATTATGCCCAGGTTCCTGCCGAATGCCAATCAAAAGCGCCCTTGTTCTTTAATCAAAAATATAATAAATCTACAAAAATTGGCTACCATTGGGTAAAAATGATTCTCATAATACTAATTCAATTAATAATTTACCAAGCCCTATGAATTAATTAAAAATGAAAATATACTATATATTCCATATGATACAATGATTTTTTACAATGATGTTGTTTCATTTATAATTATAAACTTGCAGGTTTCAATTTTCTGTTTATATGGGCTATGCCTTAATTAAAATACTTATGTTATATATGTCTTTTTTTTTAAATTTAAAATAGCTTTTGGAGTAAAGGCTGAAAATCTTGCCAAATACTTTTTTGAGGCCTTGAAAGAAGGACAAGAAAAAATCAAAAATTTGAAAGAAGTTCATATTGTGATATTTGAGTCCAAACTTATAAGGGCATTTTTGGAGTCCTTTAAAACTTGCTGTGAGAACTACAAACCTAAAGATGGTGGATTCTTCAAGAAAATGACAAAGATGTTTGGTTTTGGTAAGTCAGAACTTGGAATACTTTGAGGAAAAACAGCAGCTTGTTGGATACTTGGTCCATAATTATTTTACTATAAAAATATGTGTACCGTACATATATTTCTGAAAAATAAACCTTTAAAAGAAAGTAAGAACTTTTGCATGCAAATAACAAATTTCTTTCCAGTCAAAGTTAAATTTTTTTCAGTGAATATAAAGGTGAATATATTTTTAAATGTTGAAAAGTTGACAACTTTCACATTTTAGAAGTACGACTAGTGGAAACATTGATATTCTACTAGTGCTCTTTAACAGGACAAGAAAGTTGCATGTGAAACACAGATATGTACTTGACATTTATTAGTCATTCATCAACACCAATGTAACCATATCCGCAGAATGTAAATGTTTGCAGTATAAGTATTGCAAATTAATGTCACTGGACTTTTTTTTTTCATTTTTTCCTGCAGGTAAGCAAGAAAGCAATATGTGGGAAGGAGCTCGCAAAACTCAAAGAATGCCTCTAGATAAGAGTTCTGTAACTTTGGTGATTTATGCAGATTCCCAAGAAAGAATAGATCAAGCAATAGATATGGTTGAAAGAGGCATTGACTCCTGTATTACAAAGAAATTTTTTAGTGACTCAGTGGTGAAAGAATTCACACCCCAGCAGGTTTGTTAATGGCTTGCTTCCAAACTATATGAGTAAATTAATACTGTAGAAGTACTTTTTTCCGTGTGGTATTAATTTACGCTATGTACACGGTCACAAATTTTCCGCGGAAATTTGTCCAAGCGAACTTAATATAAATGTAAGACTTATAGTGACAGTCTAGAAAATCCGCGTAATTTTCTACCTGCGGATCAAACAGAAATTGAGATTCCACGGAATTATGACCCCGTGGAAAAAAGTACGTCTACAGTATATAAATTACATAAATTGCTTAAATTTTATCGGTCTGTCTTTCTACTACCATAAATCAAGTCATAACGTTTTTGCTTAATTTAGAAGCAGGGCAATTCCTGGAAAAATTAAACAAATGCAAACATTGCCAATGATTACATACATGCTTCCACCACAAAAAATGTATTTGATTAAAGCCGCTTCATCTGAAACAGGCACATATTATCTTAAACAATAAAAGTACGTCATTACATAGATAATATATAAAAATTAATTATAAGATTGATTTAATAGTTTATTACAACAATCCTTACATGGAAAACATAGACCAAAAACCTTGTTGACAAACAGCAGTTCCTGACGGGAAGTTAAGATCTGTTTTGAAGTCTGCACCTTTGAAAAATATACTTTTATCGGTTATATCTAATTATGAAGAGAATTCAAACCCGAGTATTTTTTTCCATTAGTAGAATCTTAAGTCATGATATATCTTTTAAAAATTAAGAAATTAACTGAATTTAATCCATAGTAATTTTTATACTAATATGCATATTTACAGAATAAAGGAAAATCATATATTTTTTAAAGATTTTTTAAAAAGGGAGTTTAGTAACGAGGGCTAGAATATTGCCCGTGTACACTTTGTTGTGGAAAAAATGCTCGGGTTTGTTCTTCATGAGTTATACATGTAAGCGATAAATTTAATTTTTAGAAGGTGATTTCACGCAATGTAAACAAAGGATTATTTTTTGTGTGACCTAACAAAAATTATTTTTTAAACTTTTGAATTTTGATATCTTTAAAAAGAAAAAGACTTTGGAGATATAATTCGACAAAAGTTGAAATAAATTATGGACAATTATTTTTCAAGGAGAAAAACGAATATATTTTTTAGCGATTAGAATCGGACCAAGCGGCTTTAAAGCAACATGAGATGCATTTTCGATAATATTATTTTGCTGTTAAAATGTGATATTAAGATAAATATTATGTAATTTAAATCTTTTTGACCAGTAAGACTAAAATAAAGTTCTAAACTGTTCCAGAAGAAAGACTTCAATTTTGTACAATTAAATATTATACAATTATTGCTGTTTTTTGAGGTCAATACAATGATTTAGCCATCTGAGGAGTACAGTATTCACCGAGCCCGGAGGGCGAGGTGAATATTGTACTTCGAAGATGGCTAAATCATTGTATTGACCGAAAAAACAGCAATAATTGTTTTATTATATGATTCACTGATAAAATGATAAAGCCCATTATTTGTTTGCATTTAATTAAGTCCTAGCCAAATACAAAAGAGAAGCAGAATTAAAATGTAAATAAGCCTTACCAATCATACCAATTTGAAGGTTTTTTTTATCAATTTTAGTTGCCATGAATAAAAAATATAATGTCAGTCTTTTTTTTATAGTATAGATTTTCAAAGGAAGGAGTATTATCAGGGAAAACAGTAAAAATTGTTATCGGGGAAAACAGTAAAAATTGTTGTTCAGTAAAAGTGTTGGAGGGATGTCCCTGCATCCCCTCTTACCACCATAACTCAAAAATTTATATTCGCTAATAATATGTTTTGTTCACATGAAAAAAAGTCATAGTCGTTTAGATAGATTTCCAAAACAATTTGTATCAATTTGGAATTTCCCGATCTATTTTTAGATCAATGTAGAGGAAATAAATCCTTGTATTGACCTGGAACGTCACGTGCAGGTCAATACAACGTAGTATTTTTCTAACATAGTTGGATCTCAGCCAATCAGAGAGATGGAAATTATTCAATCATATAATAAATAAGATTATTAAAGAAATCGATATTGTACAGGTAAACAATAATGTAATTTTGCATCAATCACAGCTAATAAATAGTTATTCCATTGCAAATATGAGTACAAAAAGTTTATAAATATTCTTTTAACTGTCATTGAAATAGTTATTCATAGTTTTGAAACAAAAAATTTCCGACATCAAATTTGCAGCTCATATTGCTTTAAATATTATTGGCAGGAATCAGAAATCCAGCAGCTAAAGGAGAAACTTGATGTTGATGTGACAGTTGAGAAACGAGTTGGAAGGATTATTTTGCAAGGTCTCACTTCTGATATCATGGAAGCTTCTGAAAAAGTTCACAGATTACTTCGCCAGGCAGATGCTGTGAGACAAGAGAAACAAGCTGCTGAAATGATGGCAAGCATGGTTGAATGGTGTTTCATTGAAATTACAAATACAGGCCAAAAACTAGAACCATACCCTGCTGACATTAATATGCAGTTAGAGAAGGCCCTCAGAAAGCAGGAAGCTAAGGCATCCTTTAAAGATGCACAAGGAAATAAATACATTGTTGATTTGGCAGCTTATGAGGAATATCCAGAAAGCGATCCAACAGATATTGTAAAAGTCATCAGAAAGAACAAAATTAGTGGTAAGCTTTTATAGCTTTTTAAAGGCTCAACTAAGCTGAAAAATAGATGGTGATTACATTTATTATATTTTCAACAGTGAAAAAATTGTCTGACATTAATTCCTTGATGATGAAAACTGATATTTTTTCCTAAGTGATATTTATAGAAATATAAAAAGATGCAACGTTTGAGATTTTCATTCCCTTCACAAAGAGTGTTGTAAAGAAAAACTATTTCTTGTAGAATTGAGCTGTAGAGAGACAGACGAATTAATAATCCGTCTTAAAAATGTATTTATTTCCTCTGAAATCTTGCTAATCCTTCGTAGAAAGTAAGATAGGCCTATATGACATCTTTTGATTCAAAGCAGCTTGCACATTCTGTAGTCAACCTGTACATCCATCTAGCTGTAAACTTTTTGCATTTTCGACTTCTTCTCCAGAACCAGTGGGCCAATTTCAACCAAACTTGCCACAAAGCATTCTTAGGTAAAAGGGATTTAATTTTTCAAACGAGGAACCACACGCTCATTCAAGGGGAGATAATTCATAAATTGTGAAACATTAATGGCATATATTAAAAATCTTCCCAAGAAGAATCACCATGCCAAACAAGTTGAAACTTAAAGGATACCTTCTTTACATAGTGTAGATTCAAGTTTGTTCAAATGATGAACCCTGGAGGCAGGGTGGGATCACAATTGGAAATTAAAGTTTTACATTGAAATATATAGGGGAAAATCTGTCAATAACAGCAAAACCATCATTAGTCATTTTGAAAGCATCCTCAAGGATTTTAGACTCAAGTTTGTTCAAATCATGACTCATGGGGATAGGGAGTGACCACATGGGGATCAAATTTTTACAAAAGGAATTCATTGGAAAAAATCTTTTACAATCTGCTCAAGAACAGCAGAGCCAATTGTTGTATTGATATGCAAGCATCCTCAGGGGGATATAAAAATCCCAGCGTCCCCCCTCCATATAAACTTTTCAATACTAAGCTGATGTGTGATTTTTCTAACCATTGTACTCAGGTGAGCAATGTGGCCTATGGACTCTTTTGTAGGGAGTGATAATCAGGTTACCATTACAACCTATTGATCTCTTGTCATAATTTTTTTTTGTTAATTAAGGGTCTAATTTTGAGCAACCAGTGACATGGACAACTATGGGGGACAAAGAGAATGTGGCAGTAGTAACCCTGCAGCCTAGTAGTAAAGAATACAAGGATGTGGTAAAGGACTTCCAGTCTCAAGCTGGTGCTGTAAACATAATAAAGGTATACATCATTATTTTACTAAAGAAGTTAATTTTAAGAAAAAAAAACTGTGGAATCATTTTAATTTGTGAGGGTCAATGTTTGTGAGCAAACAAAATTTTATTTGTTTGTGGGGATGTAATTTTGTGGTTTATTCGCTTAAACTGACATATTCATTGAATCTATATGTTTGTTCATGGGAATTTAAATTTGTGGATAAGGGTTACCAAGGCATCAACAAATATTGGTTCCCAACAAACAGTGATTATTTCACAGTATTTTACTAGATTTGATAAAATCTCTAAAAAATAGTTGGCAAACGCAGAGTCTGATATGCAGCCAAATAAACAAAAACGCTTCTGGAGGTTTGTGAATGCCATGAGGAAGGACAGCAATGGAGTGTCACCACTAAAGGACAGAGGAGTACTACATTCTGAGGCAAAAGACAAGGCGGATATTCTGAATCACCAGTACGAGTCTGTATTTACTAGAGAGGATACCCAGAATATCCCCATGCCTCATGGTACACCATCCCCACAAATGCCTGACATTAAGATCTCAGAGGAAGGAGTCTGCAAGCTACTGAGGAAGCTCAATCCTAACAAGGCCTCAGGACCTGATTCTATACCAGCCAGAGTTCTGAAGGACATGTCAGCTGAGATTGCTCCACTCCTCACTCAACTGTTCTGTAAAAGCTTGTCTGAGGGCATCGTACCAAATGACTGGAGAAAGGCCAATGTAACAGCTATTTTCAAAAAAGGTGAGAGATTCAAGGCCTCAAATTACCGGCCAGTTTCCTTAACATGCATATGCTGCAAGCTGTTAGAGCACATATTGGTCAGTAACATCATGAACCACATGGATAGGTACAGCATATTATCAGATGTGCAGCATGGCTTCCGGGCACGAAGGAGCTGTGAGACCCAACTACTCACATTATTTGATGACCTGGCAAGAGCATGGGACAAAGGTATCCAACATGATATAGTTGTATTAGACTTTAGCAAGGCCTTTGACCGCGTCCCACATGAGAGACTTCTCATGAAGCTACACCACAGTGGAATCCGCGGTAACACTCATGTATGGATCCGCTCTTTCTTGACCGGGAGATCCCAGCAAGTGGTGGTGGAAGGAGCCACATCAGAGCCCGCACCTGTCATCAGCGGAGTCCCACAAGGGAGTGTGCTTGGGCCTGTGCTCTTCCTCATCTTCATCAATGACCTGCCATCTTGTGTCAATAGCCATGTGAGATTATTTGCTGATGACTGTGTCCTTTATCGCCAGATACACAGTCGGGAGGACTGCGAACAACTCCAACAAGACCTACACCACCTAGAGGAGTGGGAGAAAACCAGGGGAATGGATTTCCATCCAGACAAGTGTAACACCATGGTGTTCACCAGATCCCGCAACCCGCAGCTCTACAGCTACTCACTGAAAGGTCAGATGTTGGAGAATGTAGAGACCACCAAGTACTTAGGGGTATGGATAACTACCAACTTGTCATGGAGGGTCCATATTGATAAGACAGTTAAGAAGGCGAACTCTACTCTTGGCTTCTTACGTAGGAACCTCAATATCACCAATGAGAAGACCAAGACAGAGGCATATATGGCACTAGTTCGGCCCACATTGGAGTACTGTGCCTCAGTATGGAATCCCCACACAAAGGATCACATCCACCGACTTGAAATGGTCCAGAGGAGAACTGCTAGGTACGTCACAAATAGATACAGGAATACCAGCAGTGTTACAGACATGCTAGACAGTCTCCAGTGGGAATCCTTAGAGAGCCGTAGGACCAAGGCACAGCTCGCCATGTTTTATAAGGCATGGAAAGGCCTGGTAGATATCCCGCTATCTCAGTATGTCACTCCATCATCAAGTCGAACCAGATCCACCCATTCCTACAGATTCCAGCATCATCAGTGCAGAACCAACATCTATAAGTTCAGTTTCTTCCCCAGGACTATCATAACCTGGAACACTTGACCAGCATCTGTTGCTGAGGCCCCTGACTTGGTACACTTCAAGCAGGGGCTTTCATCACTTTCCTTCTAGATGGCTCAGGGAGCAAGTAAGCTCTAGTGAAGTCAGTAGGCAATGCCGGGGAGACCTCTACTAGTAAGTCTCAGGGCCGCTACGGTTACCGGACTGGCTGCTGACAGAAGAGCTGAAAACTTCCTTCTTTTACCTTTTAACTGTTTTTACATTTTAATCTTTCTAACAGTGTTGTCAAAGCGCTGCGCCGTTGAGTAATCGTCAAAGATGACGGACCAACGTACCATGTAGATGTAGATGAAATACAATATTGAGATTGGGAATGCTCAAAATATTCCAACCTTATTAATGCATGGTATAAAGAGTATATATAGAATAGAATTATAGAAATATTTTATTTTCTTTTCAGGTGGAAAGGATACAAAACAGGATGTTGATGCAGCAGTATGATGCAAAATTGAAACTAATGGAGAAACAAAATCCATCTGGAAACAATAATGAGATGGTTTTATGGCATGGGACGGCCAATGATTCAGTAGCCAGTATCAATACTTATGGTTTTAACAGGAGCTACTGTGGAAAGAATGGTAAAATTGATGTACATGTATCAAAAATCACAGGCTAAAACATTGATACTAGCTCTATTTAAAAATACAAAAAGAAATACAATTTTGTTGAGTCAGATTTTCAAGGTATAAGGAAGAATATTGGTTTGTGGGGTTTTAATTTTCTGGATAGTCACCCATGTGGTGCAGTGGTAAGAGAACTTTTTCTGGGGTTGTCTGTTATCTATGGAATGCCAAATTCACAAAAATGAGCTAAACCTAGTTTCACAATTGATAAACTAGGTTTATCGACTGTAAACTATAGTTTACAAACAGTAAGCTATAGTTAACGATTCGTTAAGTACATGTATAGTTTTCATCTGTAAAATTATATTTAACAGTTGTTAACTATAGTTTACGAATGCTAATCTAAGTTTATCTGTCTGAAATAAGCGTTAACAATAGATTTTGTTGATAAACATAGATTCACGTTTGTAAACTCGTAAACTATAGTTAAGAGTTGTTAATCATAGTTTCACAAATTGTGAAACTATATCTATTAGTTCATTAACTATAGTTTACAAATCGTGAAACTGTATTTATCAGATAATCTATGTTTTGCAATTGCAAATGATTGTTTTGGGTGTTAAGTATTGTTTACGGTTGTGAAACATAGATTATCGCGTTAACAATGGTTTACAGATGTAAAATATAGATTAACGTTGTTAACTATAGTTTACAGTCCGTAAACTATAGTTTACAACCAATAAACCTAGTTTATCAACTGTGAAACTATGTTAGGCTCATTTTTGTGAATTTGGCATGCCATAGTTATAACTTCAAATATTTAATTAATCTTTCCAATACTTTACTATTTCTTTTTCCTTTGCAGTGTGCTAAGCTGAGCAGCTTGGTGTTATTTTTTTTTGGCTAAATATTTTATTGTAAATTGCCATTTTTGATGTTGAACTTTATACTTAATCTTGCAGCAACTGCATATGGAAATGGTGTATATTTTGCTGTGAATGCAAGTTATTCTGCAAATTCAACATATAGTCCACCTGACATTAGTGGAAACAGACGAGTATATAGGTCTCGAGTATTAACAGGAGAATACTGCCAAGGGAGGAACGGAATGAAAGTCCCCCCGAATAAGCCCAGTGGTGGCCACATTCTGTATGACTCTGTTGTAGATAATCCCAACAATCCAGGCATTTTTGTTATCTTTAATGATACACAAGCTTATCCAGAATATCTTATTACATTTCAGTAATTCTACATTTTGACTTTTCTGTGCATTATAATTATACCAATCCATCATTATCAGAGAAATGAGTTAAAAGTGGACTTTGCAACTCAAGTGCAATGTTGCCTTGAGTTTGTGAGTGTGTGTGCCATGATGAATTTTTCTATGAAATCGTATTCTTTATTCGTCCTAGTTGATAACATTACAAATTAAGAATGATTTTTTACATGATTAATATCATTTACATGATAAAACATTTGAACATTATGAATGAAAGATTGAAGAATGATAAGTCCTGACTAAGATAACCTTTACATGACGAATGTTCTTATAAACGGCTACTACCAGGTATTATTATTGTTAATTTAATTTAGTTTCAGTCTTCTCTTTTCCAATTATCTTCTATTCCTCAGATGTATGTCAAATAAGCCAATCTGAAAAGTGATTAATGAAGTACATTGTATTTTCCACCAACATACGAGTGCAAGTATGTTTTTTAAAAAAATTGTAAACTCAATCTGGTACTTGTTTTATTGTTTTTTTATTTGTCAGTTTTTATCATACGAGTTATAGTATGACTGCTTTCTTCAAAATCATCATATACTAAAAATCTATTTATGAAGACCATTAAGTTATTTTCATTTTGTTGATAATGAAAATAACATCTATTGATTTTCACATAAATTCAAAACAATGTCATTACATGCATGCATTAAGAAGTAGTGATACTCTTTAAATGATACATTGTATATTCATTACATACACTTCAGGAAATATACGATTTAAAATTTGGTTAAAACATAAGATTTTTTCACTTTTCAAACAATAATTTCTTATGATATCAAAGCCATTAAATGAAAACTGCAGGCGTTAGAAGTACAAAAATAATAAACAACTTTTTCGTCACATGTTTGTAGCAGAATATTCGCTAACTTCCTTTTTTTTCATAAAAAAAATTAGAAATGTTTTTTAAAGTTTCCTATAAAGCAAATTAAGATTTTGTCATGTGTGTTCTCAGTTAATGGTCTTGGAGCCAGGAAAGGACCTTTTTTTTTTTTTTTAGAAATCAAGCTATTTGTTGCAAATTTAATGAGTTTAAGGAGGAATGCCACACCAACTTTTTATTTTATAGATCCCTGAATCAACCTTTTTAAACAATGGTTTCTTTGAAAAAATACAAAAAAATTCATATAAAATAATTAAGAGCTAATGTCGACCTTTCAATGTTGAAAGCAGTGTTTAAAACGGATGACTCAAAGATCTATAAAATAAAAAGTTAGTTTAATTTTTGATGAATTTCTTTATGCCTATTGACTTGAGCATTAATTACTGTTGGCATTTGTTTTGTATTAAACCTTCCAGGATGAATAAATAAATAATACCGGTATAAAAAAAAACTTATTTTGTGATTAAGTTTTTTATTGTATTGAATGAAAATTACATTCTTTTATGAAGGTATTGGTAAGTTTTGATGTAAATGAAAATATCAGTATTTATGACTTACATGTACTTAATAGTATATTACATCTATCTCATGCAAAACATATCTCCAAAATAATGTTGCAAATTTAATAACAGACAAATAAGCAGCTGCTCTAAGGACTCTCTTTTTTAGCCAGGTTCAATGCTCAAAGACCAGCAGCGGCTTTTGTCAAGGCGTTCAACCTGATATACTTTCACTTCACCCTCAAATTAAAACTTAGAAATATTGTGCCTATTCTAAATCAATGTTTAGACAACACAGACACTAAAAGTCTAGTAAGCTGATAATTCTACTAGACAAATAAACATTAGTGATGATATATTTTCTGCGATGTTCCTCAGTCGAATTATAATTGGTTAAAGCATGTCTGCTTCACGGTTTATTAATTTATGCAAAGGCCTTGTTTTGAGGATTGTTAAATGAAAAAAATTTAAATTAACAAAAATTGAACCTTCTTTAAGTACACTTAAAATTGTTTCAATAATAATTCTAACTCTTTCAGACAGGAAATGTCATTCTTATATATATCTGGTACTAAACAGCATGTTCTACTCACAAACAATTTGTAAAATGGCACATTCAACTAAAAATAAGTTGATTATGCAAGGGTATCAACATTTAGTTTTAAGTCAAATCTACCTGTATGGTTGATATATAATGACCTTTATTTGCAAAAATTATCTGACGTTAGGTCAATTGATTCATGAAAATTGTTAGATCATTAAATTCACACTGAATTTTCGAAGGATTTCTCCCTTCACTAAAATATTAAAGGGGTACAAGGCGGAAGTCAACAGAGGGCATGGATGTAAACTTCTTTGAGATATTTTCCCCAATACATGGTCTGCCTTTCCATGTATTGATTTCAATTGCTTGATGTTAGCTTGATTTTTAGCCTAATGGAGCTTATGTGATAGTAGTGCATCCGTTGTCCGTCTGTTTGTCTAGCTGTCCCTCTGTTTGTAAACAATTTTTCAAAATGCTACTCCTCCTACATTTTTTGTTTGATTTGAATATAACTTGGCACACAAGCAGACTACACTAAGATAGTCTCATCAGAGACTTCTGGTTTTCACATGAATTTTTTTTAAAGGATGTTTGTTGATCCTAAAAACTACTAAAAATGCTTTTGTTTTTCATGATATTGTGTACACAATCATGCAATGAACCAATTACCTAGTCTGAGCGGTCTTCGAGTCTATCAGGTATAGAACTGATAAGGCTAGATGCACGCATTTTTTGACGGTACATGTAACTTTATGATAAACACAGGTGTGTGCAACCAATATTTAAGACACTAGTACTCGTATAAAAGTCACTTTGTTTTAAACTGAAAATCATGGAAAAATGATTGTTTTCTGTATGTTAATGATTGGTAAGTAATAATTTCATATGGTCAATCTTTTTCAATTCTTTTGGAAAATACAAAATAAGCTTAAACTAAATTAAAGTTATGGTGTTTTTCAATAAGGTCTGTTGACCGGGAAAGGCGTTTTTCCTGTAAAGTATCCCATGACAGACAACCCTGTCATTAAGGACGGCAAACGTTCAGGTGAAAGTGAATGTAACGAAGCCTTGCGAAAGTAAGTACAAAATCCACGGTTACGAGAACAACAACCGGTATCTATGAAACATTTACCCAGAATTCACTGGTATCTGTATCTATATATACGATCTTCACTTTAAAGGAACCCAATTGTTATACCTTTAAACATTATTCCTATATAAATCTATTCTAAGATGTCTAAAATTCCCAATGTTTTCCTGAGATTATATTATTATGGTCATCAAATCGATGTTTGACCGAGACATGAGATGTTGGACCTGTCGACGAGATCTTTAACCGCGTACGTCACGCAGTGCACTTGAAAAGCGGGAGGGTATATACATGTAGTAATCGGTATGTTCGTCCGTCCGTCCATCTGTAAGTCTAGCTGTCTGTACGTCCGTCCGTCTGTTACGCTTTGGGGTACCCATCTCTTATCCACAACTCCTCTCATACCACCGAAGGAAATTTAATGAAACTTTCACAGAATCTTTATTACATATTGCCATTGTGCACATCCTGTTTTATTTTTCGATCCGACACATATTTTGGATTTCCCACAACAAAACATTGCCACTCCCATTATATTCATATGGTAGGCGGGGGTATCATTTAGTGAGCCCATTGCTCACAGTACCTCTAGTTTCATTTGTATTTGTTGGTGTTCTATAGTGGCAGAAAGACTGAGTTTAAAATCATTGAATATCGAGGAAGCCGAAAAAATACATCCATATCAAAAAATTAAAATAAGGGATTTTACAAAACATTTATTGCCTCAGGTAACCGACAAAACGCATGTTGCCCCGAACCCAGTAAATAAACGTATAATATTTTTAGTCTGCATGAATATGTCGAGAACGTAATTTATCTCCATGAATTTATTACAACAGTTAAATAACTAAAACACATTTAACATTTCTGTAATTTACATTATTTTAGAAAAGAGTAACCCTAAATATACTGAAAGGAAAAAGAAACGCAGGGTAGGATAATTTTCGATAAAAATTTGACCACATGACCGAAAATTACGAAAATTGGTCAGAAGGGAAATTTAGTTACTGTGCATCAAAATCAGTATTCAGAATTACTCAACCGTAAAATTTATGACGTCACGTAGGGAAAATGCTAAAAAGCCCAAGACACGTGCAATTTGATAACGACGAGTTTGTCAACAAATCTTGATGCATTATTTGATGCATATGAGGTAGTCTATGCACATTGTTTTTCAATATCAATAGACATTATGAATTTATTGCAATCTTGGCACAGTATACGGAAGTTCAATGGGGTCTTGTTTTCGAATTGCCTAATTAATGAAAAAGGCAACAACGATTTACTAAGCAGTTTCTTGTAAATTTTCCCCCATAAAACTTGTTACCCGTTGTCAGAGAGGGTCTGCAATGGTTTTCGATCAACCGTGACGATGACGTTAACGCAAAACAGAGCCATGTTATGTGCGGGTTATTCGTCCTGCCATCTCTTAAATCGCCACCTTACTACCACAAAACAGTCATTTACAGAGTAGACGATTATAATCATTACATTCATACAAAATTTGAAAGAAAACAATTCCGCAATTTGATTTTTTAAGCCAGTCAACTTACTGTTATATTCCTCTAACTGGCGCATGCGCGCGCCGTTAGACTTATTTTTTGCGTCGTTACCCATGCTAAATATAGCCAGGGTTTGAAAGATAAACACTCTGATGAAATTCCATGCAAAGGAGAAATAAGACTCTGACAGATGCACGAGATAGACATTGAAGATAAGGAGAGTTTTCGATTTCACTTTTGGGGGGTATTGTCATTGAGCTTCAATAACTCATGGATAATTAGACAAAATCATATGAGAATTTGGTTATATCTTTTTGAAAGATAATTTAAAAGTTAGATAGGAAAACTAAAAAGTATTTTAAGAAAAACAAATTTGATTCAAGTCAAAAGTTTACCCTGCGTTTCTTTTTCCTTTCAGTATATTAGGTTGATTTTCATTAATTTGTTAAAAAAAAAATTTCTTTTAATATTTCGGCGAGGTTTAATTATAACCAAAAACTTTTTAAAAATTCTTTTTCAATGATTTTTTTAAAAGAAAAATAGTAATGGTTAGATTCTGTTTGATGTCATAAATCTTTAAAGTGAATATTTTCCAGAGATCCACCGCATTGTGCAACGAATTACTGGTTCTACTGCAACACTGACAGGCAGGGGGAGTGTTTACATAGCTGCATGGATTTTGCTTGTCAAAACTTGCACCCACCAGTTTGTATGTTTCATTTAACCGTATAATATCTTATAATGAAATAAGTTAATAATTATTACTACTTCAAATAAATGAGTATATATGACATTTTTGACAAATAGAGATATGCATACCTACAAAGATTTAATTTGTTCATGTATATTTTTTGGAGATTTAGGGACGACTCCATATACAACCTCATATCTAGAGTCTCCATCATCATCATCATCATCATCAACATCCTTGCAATCACCTGAAAGTAAGAGTAAGATAAATTCATTCAGACAACCTTCATACAACAGGCTGTTTATTTCCCCACTTTGAAATATATATGTAAACCTGAACGTAAATATTTATCGTAAAGAATAAATTAAAAAATCACATATATATCTACCTATATTAAAGTGCATTTGTTTATAATGACCAACTCTTGTCCATATGTAGGACCCAATACAGACTTGACTGTAACATTATCTGCTCTTACAACGCCAACAGGTAATGCATTTTTATAAAACAAAAAAAAGATGTTGGAAAAGGACTTCCTTTTACTTTTAGATTATAGATATTAAAACGAATTATTTTTCTAAGTTAAACTAGAGGTACTGTGCGCAATGAGCTCACTAAATGATACCCCCCGCCTCATTATGGTTATAATGGCAAGGTCCATGTTTTGTTGTGACCGGGAAACCCAAAATATGTGTCGGATCAAAAAGTAAAATAGGAGTTGCACAATGGCAATATGTAATAGAGATTCTGAGAAAGTTTCATTAAATTTCTTTCAGTATACCTTTACATATAATTATATTAAAAATGTGTCCTTCATAATTATTTTTGTTACGTCATATGAATGTATTTCAGCCATTTCACGTGTATCTTGTATATTGTTTTCGTATATATTGTACATGTATATATTGTAGAATTTATAAAACCAATTTTGAGTGCGAAAAAAATTTAAAACTGTTATTTAAATTTAGAAAAACTTTTGTTATGTTTAGAACCGCAAATCACCACCTTCCAACTGAAACAGGTAGATGGAATGGTACTCAGAGAAATGAAAGAGTTTGTAGCTTATGCAGTAGTAACCAGATAGGAGATGAATATCATTATATCTTAGAATGTAGTGCTTTAAACCAACTGAGGAAAGTTTATTTGAACAAAAAAATTTGTTCTAATCCAAATATTATCAAGTTTCTTGAAGTCATGTGCCAAAATGATGTTGATTCTTTGAAAAAAAATATGTACATTTATTTCTAAAATTAATAATATTGTCTCTTCTCCTTAGTTATCATCTTCTGCTAGACCAACTGTATTATATGTATATATGTTTTATGTGTTTTTGTACCTCATGTACCATTTACATGGTTTTGAGTGAATAAATTGAATAGAACCTCATGTACCATTAATTGGTTAGAGTGAGTAAATTGAACTTGAACTTGGCGACTCTAGAGTAGACGCTCTAACCACTGCGCCACGCGGGCGACTTATGTACATTGTATTTAGATTAAAGCTGAAATTACATACTCTTCAATTCTATCAGTCTATATGCATTCAGAAGATATTCAATTGGTATTTTTGTGCATGATTTTAATACTTTCATTACACACATAATTATCATTCATTCTTTGCACAGCCTGCAATGACAGCCCCAGTGCCAATTGTTCTCTCTACAACGCCACGGTGATATGTGATCTACACGGTGCTTATTACCTCTGGGCAAGGAAACACTGTCCTCTATTTTGTGGATTTTGCCACGGTACGTACACAATCAGACAGATCTATAGTTTAGAGTTAAAATGTTACAAAAATATAGATTTCAGGATAGGTATACAATTTGTATTTTATTAGGCCTCATTATGGTGTAAAAAATGTAAAAATAAATATATTAAGAAATTGTTAACTTTCTATGAAATCAATATTTTTATTTATAAATATGTAGATGCCCAGCGTACAAAGCTAGAGATGGATAATTTTCAATTAAAAAAAATGAAATAGGTTGATTATATTCAATTAAATTTAATTGTGCATAAATACGTTAGTGGCTTCGGGACCAGCAACGGTGATGATTAATAAATTTTATATTACAAAAATTAAATGAATTCGTAGTTGTTACGTGCAATGATAACCCAAGTGCTAACTGTGCTCTTTATAATTCAACTGCAATTTGTGATGTGAATGGTCCTTACTACACTTGGGCCAGAAGGAATTGTGAGAAGACCCGTGGATTCTGTCAAGGTAACAATCTTACTATTCAGTTATATCCAGAAAATGGTTTTTTTTCCAAAGATGCTCTACAAGTACAAATGTACTTCTATTTGCCATTTTATGTAAAAAAAAATAATTTCTTACTGAAAGGAACCAACAAAGAATCAGATGACAGTGGAATCATTTTTATTTGTGCGGATTAGCAATATTTTCTTCCTTCTGGGGAGTGTAATTTCGTCGGTTACTTGTATATTTTAGAGATTAAGTGAATATATAATCATATTGACAAAATAATTGTTCTCGGGGATGTAAATTCGTGGATAAAGGTACCTTTGTCCACAAACATTGGTCCATCACAAATATGATGATGCAACAGCATACAGTTTAACATACCTATGCGTAATTTACATCTTTCATCTAGCAGATATTAAAGTAAAACTGCGATAATAACTCGTCACCTAAAGAACATGAGCTCGATCTGCATCATTGATAAATAGCATGGTTTAAATTCATGCATTGCTGATTCGATAAAAAGTAGACCCGTCACTTCTTTCCCGTATTTTAGAATATAAAATTAAAACTCTTATTTGCTGTAATTTTTTTTAACAATTGGAACACCCCAAGGAAACACTAGATCCACCACTGAAGTTTCTAGTTTTGTCATACCTGAAGGTAATCTACACTCTTTCAATTGAACTTCCGTTTCCCATATTTGTTGGTGAAAATTAAAAAAAGATTTGCGAGAAATGAAACAAAAGTTAGGACAAAAACATTGATCAATCTTAAAAAATCTACAATCATTACAAATCTTTGAAGCTGTGAATTTAAGAAATTTCTAAACATTTGATATTAATTAAATGGCACATTACTACTTCGAGGATTGTTAAAAATTCCAAATGTTTTAACTTACTTAATCCTCTTCGTGCTGGATAGCACATAAGGCCGTCACCAGAGACTTCCATGCTGGCCTGTCCTGTGTCCATTTCTGTATCTGTCCCCATGTCCAGCGGTTCTTTCCCATCTCTTTCTCTACAGATCTTCTCCATGTTTCTTTTGGTCTTTCTCTCTTTCTCTTGCCAGGTGGTGTCCATTTCAAAGCAACCCTTGGGATGGAAGTTGGGTGCATTCTACGTACATGCCCTATCCACAGCCATTTTCTTCTCTTTATAACTTGAGATAGAGGGGTGGTGTTGGTCTTTTTGTATAGCTCCTCATTTGAGATGGTATTTGGCCAGAAGATGCGCAGTATTCTGCGAAGGCAGCGTGTCTGGAAGGTATCTAGCTTGTTTGAGATGGTTTTAGTAACTTTCCATGCTTCAGCACCATATAGGAGGACCCCAAGCACGTTGCTCTTGAAGATCCTTATTTTGGTGTTTGTGCTGATCTTTGCTGACCTCCAGATGTTTCTTAGTGCAACATACGCTCCTGTGGCTTTTGAAATTCGAGCTAGTACATCTACCTCTGAGTTCCCATCTGTGGTGATCTTGCTTCCTAGATAGACAAATTCTGAGACTTCTTCTATTTCTTCGTTATTTAAGGTGATGGGCTCCTCTGATTTAGTATTGACCTTCATGATCTTGGTCTTGGTGTTGTTGATATTAAGGCCAATCTTCCTTGCTGTTTCTGCTAGTTGTTTTGTTTTTCTTGCATGTCACGATGGCGGTGTGATAGCAGTGCTATGTCGTCTGCAAAATCCAGGTCTTCTAACATCTCTGTCATGGCCCAAGTAATTCCCGTCCGCTTATTCTTGATGGTTTCTCGCATAATCCAGTCAATGCAGAATGTAAAGAGAAGAGGGGAGAGCAGACATCCTTGTTTTACTCCAGTCTGTAATTCGAACTCCTCTGATAAGCTTGATCCACAGATAACTCTGGCATTTAGGTCTGTATACAACATCTTAATGATGGAGATAATTTTATCTGGCATCCCATAATGACTGAGAATTTTTTCTAAGGCTAGGCGATTAACACTGTCAAAAGCTTTTGTAAAGTCGATGAAGTTGATGTAAAGCGGAGAGTTCCATTCATTGCTCTGCTCTAGTATTTGTCTTAGAGTGAATATCTGGTCAGCACATGATCTCCCCTTTCTAAATCCTGCCTGTTCTTTCCGCAGTAGAGGATCTGCTATGTCTGTGATTCTGTTCAATATCACTCTGCTTAGCACTTTCATGGATACCGAGAGCAGCATTATCCCTCTATAGTTGTTGCAGTTGGAAAGGTCTCCTTTTTTGGAAGTTTTACTATAAGGCCTGTTCTCCAGAAAGTTGGTGTCTCTTCTGATTCCCATATGTTCTGTAGAATATTTGTCAAGATGGTAGGTGTCCAATATTCTTCGGCCTTGAGGAGCTCTGCATTTATCTGGTCAATGCCAGCAGCCTTTCCATTTTTTAATTTCCCTATTGCCTTTTTCACCTCTTCTATACTGGGTGGATCTGTATTAAAATCCAATGTGTTGATGGCTGATGTTATCAGGACCTCATTTCCTGTATCATTTATATTGAACACTTCCTCAAAATGTTCTTTCCATCCTTTCTGTATGTCTTCTTTTTTTGATAAGACATTCCCTCTTTTATCTTTTACTGGTAAATCTGCTGTCTGAAATTTACCTGCTAGTGCTTTGGTGATACGATAGAGGGTTTGCATATCTTGTTTCGAAGCTGCTTGTTCTGCTTCATTAGCTAGTTTTTCAGTGTATGCCTTTCTGTCTGCTCTTGCATTTTTCTTAACTTCTTTGTCTATAGTTCGATATTCTGCTTGGAGCTGGTCTTTTTGTCTCTTTGATTTAGTGGACAGGATTTTCTTTTTCTTTTCTTTTCGTTGTTCTACTATTTTCCATGTGTTCTCTGATATCCATCCCTCTTTTTTCCTCTTTCTTGGGCCAAGTATTTGTTGCGCATTTTCTAAGAGTATCTCATTAAATGTTTCTATATCAATTTCATCTGGGTGTTCCATAAGAGCCTCAAACTTGTTCTGCACTTTCAATTGAAAAGATTTCATAACTTTTGGATCTTTAAGCTTTTGGATGTTAATAGGAGGCGGTCTTTGATCTTTCTTCCTTGATTTCCTTAGCTTCAGCTTGACTTTAGCCAGTACTAATGAGTGGTCACTTCCCACGCCTGCTCCTTGCTTTGCAACCACATCCAGAAGGCTACTTCTCCATCTTTTGTTGATGATGACATGATCAATTTGGTTTTTCGTATGTCCATCTGGGGAGTTCCATGTTGTCTTATGGATATCTTTGTGCATAAATATAGTTCCACCAATTATCAAGTTGTTTTCTTGGCAGAAAGTGCACAGTCTCTCTCCACTGCTGTTACATTCTCCTAAGCCTTGCTTACCCATGATGCTTTCTCTTCCTTGATTGCTTTTCCCAACTTTTGCATTTAAGTCTCCCAAGATAAGTAGGACATCGTGAGATGGTGTATTGTCTACTATTTCTTGTAAGCTGTCGTAAAAGGAGACTTTTTCGTCGTCTTCTGCATCATCTGTTGGTGCATAGCATACCACTACTGTAAGTTTGGCAAAGGCTGAGTTGAATCTTGCTGTTATGATTCGTTCATTCACTGGCTTCCATTCTAACAGACTTCTATAAACTTCTTTTGTTGTGATTATAGCTACTCCTCTACTATGATGTTCGTCAGTTCTTCCAGAGTAGAGTATTTGATGTCCTGACACTAGTTGTTTTGATCCCTTGCCTGTCCATCTAGTTTCACTTACTCCAAGAAGCTCGATCTTGTAATGCTCCATTTCTCTCACCACTTGTGCTAGTTTTCCTGTTTGGTAGAGGGTCCGCACGTTCCAGCAGCCCACTCTACGTGTTATTTTTGGTCGAAGGACATCTCCTATCAGGGTGGGGGATTCACCCGTCATACTATCAGTATCCTGAGTGGTTTCAATCCTTCTTCCATCATTTTGTTCTCTGGTTAAGGTTTCTGTAGCTGCATTGTTTGACATGTTAGGGTTGCTGGCCCTAAGCATAACCCCCTGGACTCGGAGGGCCAGTGGTTTTTCTTTCAGGGTTGTCCTTCCCTTAGATGATTGCGTTCCCTTGCTTTCGTGCTCATCTACACGGATTTTCTGTCTGGATTATCTTCCATAGCCTTTGACTTTCCCAAGCCTTCTCACAAGGCAGTGATGTTATTTGACCCATAGCTGGGGACTAGGATTGCAGGCATCAGGGCATATCCACACGCCGGTGGGCCATGCATGCCGTGCATTTAGGGGCCTAGTCTCCTCCAAGACCCTGTGGTTCTGCTTGGGGCCGCAAGGTACCCAATTTCCATCTGCTACCTCGAGGAGGATCCCATATCTGGGCCACATAGGTCTAACTGCGGAGAGGCTATACCTGGCAGAGAAGACTTACATATTTTGCTAACTCTTTCGCAGCGAACTGCTAGCCAGGGGTGGAGCTGAAAGCGAGAGTGACAAGCACAGACACAGACAGACACACACACTGTACGCATCACACAGCCATTAAGCAGACAAATGTTTTAAACATTTCATAATAAACTATTGGACAAAAATTAATCCTCATAGACTTTTTTGCACAATGTTTGAAAATGACATAGGTAGTGAAAGAAATGTCTACTTTAATCATATAATGACATATGCCTATGACCCCCCCCCCTAAAAAAAAAAGCTGTATCTGTTCATTTGTTTGTATCTAAACTTGTTCAGTTGATAGCTTGTAGAGATACATTGAATTGTAAAGTGTTCAATTCGGAGAGGATATGCAACAAGACCGGAATATACTTTCCATGGGCAACAAAAAACTGTCCACTATACTGCGGATTCTGTCAAGGTACGTGTATTAAATAAGAAAAGCTTTATGGCATAGATTTAAACAGAAACAATATACTTATCATTGGAATGAGTTCTTTTTTTTTATTTTGGTTAAATGTCCCTTTTGAGAAATGTTCACTCATGTTAAGACACCAACACTTGTCTTTGGGGGCAGAAAGACCAGTTCTGGGTACTCAGGGCCAATAATACATAAATAATTATACAAGATAGGCTATGAGAAGAAACTACTGAAGGGAAAAAAAAATTAAAAATATGGCGTTATGGATAGAGCGTTTGCTCTAGAATCGCGAAATAAGGAATTGATCTTAAAACTTGCATGTCAGTAATTCACCTCATTTTAAAAATTGTACGTACACATGTACTATACGTAGAGCATGTTTTTGCGTATCGAATCAACTGAGAGATATAAATTGTGTATGCAGGTGATGAAGGTACAATGTATATTGCTGCTAAGTGAGGGAGGATGACGATTGAAAAGTTAAAATCATCACATTTGTCATAGAGCTTGGTTGTTAGATTATCATTAACAACTTTTTCAAGTAAAATATCTAAGTATGAAACAGATGAGTTACACTCTATGGTATCTTTTATCTCAAGCTCACCAGGATAAATCGTATCAGTATAAGTATGGAAATAACCATTGTTAATTGACATTACGTCGTCAAAATACTAGAATCTAAATGTCGAATTGAAGGCCACGGCGGTACGACTTTACTTTGCCGGTCCCCAGAAAAACGCGCTAAAATGTAGTGTCGCCGAAGGTGACTTCAGTATGTATGAGATCGAAAAAATTTTTAAATATGAAGTTTTTTGGCCTTTTGACCCCAAAATTGAATTCTACGGTTAAAAGTTTAGTTTAAAACTTTGTTTTTAAACAAAGTTTTTAACCTCGTTCTCTGAAAAAATTAATAAATAGTTGTTTATTCATGGAAAAAATCGACAAAGAATAATTCTGAACGTGCGGCGCATGCTTAGTGTCATTTCTTTCGGACTTAGCCAATCTTCCATGTAAACAAACGAAGGAAATGCCTATGAATCTGAATTATGATCTTGGAAAAATTACAGAAACAACTGAATTTCTTAACTTAACTAAAAGAACGATTCACTAACCCTAATCCATCGTATGGTATGCAAGGACTAAGACGTTCAGATGAAATCTCCAGGGCAGATGCTAAACTAACCCTAATCAGTCGAAAAATGTGCGAGGACTAACCCTAATTTCTCGGATGGACGCGAGACTAGCCCTAATCATTCGAATACTAGTGCAATGACTAACCCTAATCTCTCAGGTGGGTGCAAGACTAACCCTAATCAGTCGAATAGTGTGCAAATTTCAGTTGAGTGACGTAGTTGTTACGTCATAGTCCAATGAGCGCGAGGATCTTGCGGATCTGGGGACCGGTAGGTAAAGTCTACCCAAATATTCTTATACTAAACGTGTGCCGAGTAAAATGATAAATTTAAAACATTATTTTTTCCTTCTTAGCACCGACAGTAACAATAGCGTGCCAGGACAAACTTTCCAATTGTAACGAATATCAAAGTAATTTATGCATCGAGCCTCTTTATCGTTTATGGAGGGAAGAAAACTGTAGAAAGTTTTGTGGAATTTGCACAGGTAACTATCTTTGTAAAGGAATTGTATGAAGTTTCATATACTAGTGTTCTTATTTTTTCCTCTTTCTGTCTTGCACACTGACAAATATTTCACATAAAAGATAATTTGTACGTTCTACTAAGATCTTTAGGGTACAGTTCCACTACAGCTTATAATTTTCATTTTGCATACTTTATAGTATGTACTCACCATCTTAAAGTATACAATTACTTTAGAACTGGTAATTGAATTGCGTAGTTAAAGGCTCAATTACCGACTCATAAACTTATACTTTAATCACTTTTTTTCTTCTAATGAAATGACAGACCAAGCTACATGTATGATTACACTTCTGCATAAAAAGCTTAAATTTCAAGAGAGCTTTCATCTCTACATTGAAAGCAGTTTTACATTGAAAAATTTCAGTAACATTTTCTTGAATTATAGGATCTACCAGTGATAGACCCTTCTTCAGCGCTTGGATGATATCTTCGGAAAGAGTTTTATAAAAGAGCGTAATACTGTATTCAATTTTATCAACAAGTTTTTTTTCAAGAAAAATGACGAAATGCAAAAAATCCAATTATTATTGTTTGGAATGTGTTTGATCCTCGTGTGAATTTTTCATTGATACCCTACAGAAAGTTTACACAAAAGCCTTGAAATAACGAATTATTTTAAAGCAACGGGTAATTTGTAATACATATTTTTATTTAGTGAATATAAACAAGAAAATAATTTTAAGTTCTCAGAAAATCTTTTAAATCAAAGAATATTACTACTTTTATCTTACCATAACTCTAAATGAGTAATTACACTTCTATAAACATTCACTTTATATTAATATCATAAAACCTCAGTATCTCACAATATTAGGACATAAAAGTTAATCTTGCTGGACTGCCTATTTACTGTGCCATGTAGATGATTACTTTTTTTTTTTACCTGAAGATACAGCAGAGTAACTGTTAATGGCACTGTCCTGTTAATTATATATTGCTTTGGTTCCAAAGATTAGATTGATTGACCTAAAAGTAAACCCACAAAACTCATTAAAATTTTTAAAATCACAACTTGGGGGACTACCATTTCCCTTGTTTTGTTCTCAGGACATTGAGTCGAAAAACTTAATATGTATGTGCCCACAGAAAATCGTTACTGATTGA